TACACAATTTTAACAGTCTATAGCCAAGACTGTTTGGATAATAAAAACAAACAAACAAAATTTCACTCCCAAGTGCCCACAAACCTGCATCTCTACCTTAAATGCCTTGTATAAAGTTCCCTGAAATATATATACCTATGAAGGTTTTAGGTGGTGGGTTTAACGTCAGATAAAACCGTATACTCTGTCTCTTCTAGATAAAAAGTTCTTGGTCTGCTAGAGTCCTTATACTCAGGCTTTAGCCTATAATGCGACAATTTAGCTTTATAACTTTAATTCTCAACTTGTGCAAGTAAAACATTATCAAAGCGATTTCTTTGGAAAGTTTGGATACAAGTCATATTTTAAAAATTCAGACACATGCAAACACACTTACTGATTCAATGCAGTTCTTTTCAAGAGGAAATGTAATATAAAATACCACACCAATCCATGTATATGTAATCGCCACTAAAACATACGCTATACTTAGATCCCGACCCTGTCAGTGGATAATATCAATAAATTAACATCTATATTAGTCAGTTCTGAGGATGACATTAAAGAGCTTTCTAAATTTGAAATGATCAAAAACACAATCTGTAAATTTCAGATTTTAATCTGTTTGAGTATTTTAGTCATTGCACCAAATTAATTGTTAGATATGGTTGTTATGCAACATATACTGCATATGGGAAATGTGTATTGCTTGTTTACATGATACTTTAATGCACGTTATGTGACACTGACTGACTTGACAAGAATCAACTTACATTATTTTCTGGGTGTCGTTGATTGTGCATAATAGATAGAATTCCATTATGAAGGAAGTAACTCAGTGATAACATTCCAGTTAGTGCTGGAAACATTGCATTGTAAACTAATAAGAGAAAATAATGTGATGTTATTGTATGTACATGGGTTGCATACTGAAGATAAAAAAATACATAGGGACAAACAAACATGGCAAATTAGTGGGTACAAGAAACGGTTACATTTGATCATGTCTGCATGGTTGCATATCCAGAGGCAATGTGAACCTACTTGAACACAAGATTGTTTCTGATTGGCTATCCAACCCTATTTCTCACAGTCGGACCAATGAGAGAGCATCTTGTTTGTTAACAGGATTTTTTGATGTATCAAATTCTAGCTTGTATACATTCTTTGACTCAACTGCATATCTGATGATTGTATGTAAATGAATGTAATAGGTTCTTTTTTCCATAAACATTGTATTTTGTGATATTAGTTTATTTGAACTTGTATGGAAATATCAATTTATGAAAAGAGACTAATTCTACTTACGTGGCACTGATTTGACGGGATCAGTTCCATTAAATTCAATATTCAACCCCCATTTAGCTGCCTTAACTGTCACAAAAACTAAGATATACATAACAGACAGAGTACCTATAACAAAATTAAATAGTTACAAAATGTACTATAGAATATAGCAATGACTTGTGAGAGTATGCAAGATTGTGATATGCAATAAAATTCTCATGGGAATTGAAGTCACACAAATAACAAGCAGTCAGTCGGCTGAGATAGCTCCGCTGTTAGCAATGCACATTTCAATAAAAGAACAGAAGATATCATTAAAAAATGAACAATATGTAGAGTATCAAAGCAATGGGAGTTGCGGTTTTCAACAAGAATTCAAAAATATCACTTTTCACTAAAAATGTCAAAAATAATCATCAAAATTAGATAATTGAAGATATCACCACGAAATTAACAAATCTGAATGAGGTCCACATGTAGTATCTATATATGTAATATAAAAACAATTGGACTTGCGGTTTTCAACAAGAAGTCGAAAATATCACTTTTTATCAAAAATGACAAAAATATTCACCAAAATTAGAGAATTAAAGATATCATCACGAAATGAACAAATCTGAGAGAGGTCCACATGTAGTACCTATATAAGTAATATCAAATCAATTGGACTTGCGGTTTTCAACAAGAAGTCAAAAATATCACTTTTTACCAAAAATTAAAAAAATATTCACTAAAATTAGAGAATAAAAGATATCATCACAAAATGAACAAATATGAGAGAGGACCACATGTAGTACCTATATATGTAATATCAAAGCAATTTGACTTGC